AAGGAAACTGCTTCATTGCGCCTTCTTCTGAAAGGTAGATCTCTCGCGCTGTGAGCGTTCCTTTTATTCAACCAAAAATTAAAACATAGGAGAGCCGTAATATTTCATTTTTAACTTGTGAGACTTTTGTTGTTTTAAAAACAGATCACATACTTATTGGATGACTCCTGGTGGAGGCAGAACAAATCACCTAAAGATTGGGCTGGGTCACCCATGAGAAGGGCTGTCCTGCTCTTCTTTAGTAGCTGGTCTGTGGTCTGTAAGGAGGAAAGTGGAAGAGAGGAATTTCTAAGCTGAATGTGCAAGCTGTTCGACAACGCCACAGCATGGCCTTTGGCAGCTGATACACTAGGGGACTTTCACTGTTCTGCTTGGTTTATCTCTATGTAGATGCCTAAAGGGACAGATGACACTTGGGCACAGAAATTGTACAACACACATTTGAATAAATGTGCACTGTTTGAAAAGCCCCGTCTATCAAACAAAGCTTTTATCATCCAGCATTTTGCTGACAAGGTAAGGAGCTTTATATTGTTTTTCTTTTTGAATACTTACATTATTAAGGAAAAAATCAGTAGTTACGAAGTACCATTTAAGGATCACTGTCATCCCTGTCACCATCACTGTCATCACCACACTGATATTTGCATCATTTAAGGACTTATAGAAAGCTAGTCTTCAGTTGGGGAGATAGCTCAGCGGCTTAAGCACCTGTCTGGCAAACCCAAAGTCCTAAATTCAGTCCCCAGTACAGAGAGAGAGAGAGAGAGAGAGAGAGAGAGAGAATAGAGAGAGACCATTCTTCTGTGTTTGGCTTATTGGGTTTCTCTTTCTTTACCTTCCATTTTATTATAATGTATGTAAAATAATCATAGGTCTATAACCTTCTGCTATAACTCTGAAATCCAAGAAGTGCTGAAAATCTAGGCCTTTCATAACTCATTAGCAGCTAACCTTGACCTCTGATTTGAATTAATATAATAATTATGGTGTTTATTGCAGTTAACGTACTTCCATAGTAAAAATGTCACTATGTTTGATTAGAGAGGGCTGCTTAGACTGTTGGAGTATCAGAATGGTGCACTTCATCTCTAAATTCTTGAGAATTTCCACCTTGGAAAGCGTAGCTTACCCCAAGGCTTTCCGAATGGTGAAGGTGGCTGTGTGTCCCCTTCTGTGCTGACTCACCAGGCCGCTACTAGCAAGCTGTCAGTGCTGGTCATGTTTTACGGTCTACTTTGCTGTAGGGCAGGCTTTGAGCTAAGTGTCCTGGGGGAGTCATTCAGGGATTGAGAACTTCCTGAGTCTGCCTGCGTCCTGACTGGAAATCTTGGAATGACCATGAGCCTCCGTGCTTGTAGTGGAGAGTATAGAGCTCCGTGAGTGGCAGGTGGCTGAAGTTCCTGGGTTTTTGGAAGAAAAATAACTGCTTCTTAAAGAGTTCCATTTTACCAAATCGTGTTTCCCCAGATGCTTCATAGCTTTGTGCCTTACTAGCTTTCCCCTGTCCCGTCAGCCAGCCATTCGTTCCGGCTGAGCCTCTCTCCCCCATGGTGCCCTCCTGCCGCTGGGCAGTGGACAAGCATGGAAGGAGGTGTCTTTGGCAGCACAGCAAGGAAGGTCAGCTTCCTAGGAGTCCCCTGACCATGACCAACAGGCTCTTGGACCACCGCTAACCAGCGGCACTACCACTCTTCCCTCGGAAAATGACACGTGGGGAGTTTGTAGAGATAACACACCTCTTTCCAGGAGTTGTTACTGATTTTGTAGGAACCATTGGTGATAGCACTTTGCTAAGAGCTGGTTGTACGGTTGATCTAATATTTTATTGATGATGGTAATACCTGTTTAAAAGTGTTATCAGTTAAGTCTGTATCTCCATGTGTTTTCAGGTGGAATATCAGTGTGAAGGCTTTCTTGAAAAGAATAAAGACACCGTTTTTGAAGAACAGATTCAAGTTCTTAAGTCAAGCAAGGTAACTGTAGAGGCTTGCTCTAATCAGGATGTATTCCATAAAATGGTCATTACTCCAACGTTAGCTTTTTACCAACATGACGATGTTTTTCTAACAAAATCAGTTTCAATTACAGCTTGTGATTTGTCAAGTGTGTAGCACTGTGAGTCTGGTTCTGTTCTAGTGCTTGGCAGCTGTCGGCACACCTGGCTTCATGGTGAGGGGTACTGCTGCTTGCGTTTTACAGCGGAGCCAGCTGAAGCACAGCCTTTGTAACTAGAGTTCGCAGGCCAAAAGCCTGCACGGTTGCGCCCAGTCTGCCCTGAGCCTCCAAGCCGTGTGGCCTCGCCACTGTGTGTGCGGGCATCGCCTGCACCATGTTTCTGTACTTGCTCGCCTCTGTGTGACGCAGTGCAAGGGGAGGCTCTGGGCTGTCCTGTTGAGGGTGTACTAGGAATTTACTCCAGTCTGTGTGGCAGCGAGTCTCTGAAGCATAGTTGCATGTGGTCAGGTGTGGTAGTGGGAGCACTGCCTTCCAGTGGGAAAGGACATTCCATATGGTGGGGAGTTACGGTGATCACCTCACTCACTGGGTTCAACCCCAGCTCCGCCTCCGACCTTCATCTGAAAAGATGGAAGGGGCTCAGGGCCGTCCTACAGGGAGCAATCCAGGAGGCTATGTAGTTTGTCAGATATTCAGAAATTCATTAGAAGAGCAAAAATCTTCATGTAAATTCTTGTAGATGACAGACTGACACTCTTTGTGTTTCTAGTTTAAGAGAAGCCTTTAATTTCTGTCAAATATAAACATTCTGACTCTTGTTAAGGAAAAAAAAAATTTGCCTTCCAATAATTTTTTTTTCCTTTTTTTTCTTTTTGGTTCGTTTTCAGTTTTATTTTTAAGTCGTTTTCCTGCGTTGACAAGGATGATTTGGGGTTTTTGTTTTGTTGTTGTTCTCGATTTCGGTGGGAGGGCTGAAGGAAATGTTCATGTTTTGGATTAAAAAAAAAAAAAAAA